CTCCTGTGACTGCAGTAGCTCGGCCAGCTCCGTTTGGCTGCGCTGCAGCAGCTGACGCAGGCTGCCGCCCTTGCGGAGCACACCGTGCACATTGCGCGTATGGATGCCTGGCAGACGCAACAGGAAATCATATATGGCACTATTATACTGCAACTGATCGCCGGCTGATGCGGCGCCGCCAGACTCATCGCTGCCCAAGGCGGCAGCCACCTGGGCGTCCGGCTCCGGTTTGCCCAGTTTGAGCTCCTCGAACAGCTGGGCCGTGGCATACGGACTGGGCGACCAGATCAGACGCAACTTGGGAAAATGGAGTGTGAGCAGCTGCAGCTTCTGCATAATGTCCGCATTTGTCGCCGTCGTCTGCTGGGAGAGCATAAACTTGCCCTGCAAGTGGAACGGACGATTCTGATCGAACTCAATAAGCAGTATGGGCTTCGCATAGTAGCGCTGCATTTGCACACACTGATTGTAGAGGCGGCCCGAGTTCAGGGATCCAATTAGATCCGATATCGATTTGCGTTCCACGCACACATCCGGCGTCAGAATGTAATCCCCAATGGTAATTGTCACGGGCAGCACCTCCAAGCCGCGCCGATGGATTAGGCACGGCAAATCCGACCGAAATTCACGCATGTCCACAATCACTTTCGGTGTTACGCGGGCGCTGCTCAATGCCACGCCCATTGCGGCGCCCTGACGTGTTTTGGCATTTGCAGACTCCTCATCGTCGTAGCATTTGTAGAGCACGAATGCTTCATCCGTCTTGCCATCCTGGTACTCGGGTATGACCATTTTCTGTGAATGTGAATGCCATTTGAATGGTGCTGTGAGAAGTTCCACAATAACTCGCATAACTAAACGCATGATTGACTAGCAGATACCCTGGACACAAAGCTGTTGATCGAATCGAAACACTCGTAAGTATATGCTGCTGCCTTGAGACGGATTGGTTGCCAATTCTTCTCGTATTTCTGACTTTGAACAAATTTTTGATTTTCTTAATCAAATCAGAGAAGTTCACTATTTAGCTTGTGTATGTAAATGCATGTATGTGTGTGCATGTAGTATGTATGTATGTATGTATGCATGCATACATGCACGCATGTTAAAATTTTTTTGCCCCAAACGACGACAAACTTTGTTTTCTGCTGCGCTGCAAATTAAAAAAAAAAACGTCTTTTCAGTGGTCGCCCTCCTATTCGATTCTCATGAATTCAAGTAAGGCTTGCTGGTTTCAGTATGTATGTACATGTATGTATGAATGCATATGTATGTACGGTGGTATGAACATATGTATGTTCCTATGTATGTATGTGTGCATGTACTCAAAATCTTTCAGGTTTTTATGCTCCGATTACAAATATAGGTGTTTGTTGACGTTCTAAGAAGCTTTATCTCACATACTCTCTCTCTCTCTGTCTCCCTCGCGCTCATTGTCTTCCCCTTCCCCGACCTCTACTCTATATTTCAAAATGTACATAGAAAACAGTCTCTCTGTCTCCTACTAATAGATGGTAACTACATACACATATATCTTCATATATTACTAGAAATATATCCTAAGGCAATTCGGAGCTGGGCATAGGTTATTTTCTAGCTTACGATTGAGAATAATACAAAAAGGCCTTTTGGGCTTCACTCACGCTCTTCGTATCGATGATGAGCTCAAAGGCGGACTTCTCACGCCGCAGACTCGTCAGATAGGATTGCTCCTCGACGGTGCGCGCGTGTATTAGAAAATAGATTTTCATGCGTTCGGCGGGCGGGCGACGGCGACGCGCCTCAAACACCTCCAGCTGGCGTATGGCGGTCACATTCGTGTTGTACATGATGACATAGTGGGGCTGAAGCTGGTCGAGCATGTGCTCCACGGCCATGGCGCCCTCGCGTTCTGTCTTGAACGTTTGCAGGCATATGCAGGGCTGTATTTTGGCGGCCAGCGCGGCGGACACATCGAACTGCTCCAGTTCAGGTATGATCTCAAAGATGGAGGCATTCGGATCGGCATCGCTGGCCTGCATTGGCTGCGTCATGGTGAGCATGTAGCTCTCCTCGAACATCTGTTGCTGCAGTTGGGCCTCTGCATCCTCCGCTTCGTTCAGCAGCTGGGCAAGTTCATCCACAGATGTTTCCGCTGCCGCTGGCTGAGCAGCAGCCACAGTTGTCGCCGGCTTCGGCTTCGGCTTGGCATCTGTGTTGGCTGCTGCCTCTGCCATGGCCGTTGTTTGACTCTCCTGGCCAAACTTATCGCTTAGCTTGCCGACGAGCACCTCATGTCGCATGGCCTGCTGCAGCAGGAAGCGTGCACTGCCCTGCGTCAAATACTGTTTCAACTGATAGCAGGTGCGCGCATCTTGGCACAGTATCAACACCTTGGGCGGCTCCAAGCGATCGGCGCCACGACGACCTTGCATATCGCCGGGTATATCATGGGTGAGCAGCTCGCTTAGCGCCTGCCATTTGGGACATGCCTCCGGTTCAAATTCTGCACACATAAATATAAATTGTAAATTTATGAAATTTGTTATCCCTCCTCCTCCTTCTCGCGGCGATCCACTCACCATTTTGTGCATTGTAAACACGCTGCTTGGAGAGCATAAAGATCTGTTCGGCTGCATCCAGTAGCGTCCAGCCGGAATTGCTGATGGCGTACTCCGTGCCGCGATAGCGTTTAATCAAAGCATAGGAGCTAACTGAATCATGGTACATGGTGGATCTAGGTAGTAGAAATATATGTTAGACAGCTAGACAGATTGATTGATTGATTGACTGAGTGACTGATCAGCGACTTTAGGCTCAATTTGAAATATCTATGTAAAACATAATTCGGTGAAGTTAAAAATCAAAAGTTGACAACTTGACCCGGTTAATACCAGCTGGAGTATAAACTGAATGATTGATTGATTGACTGACGATCACAGACAAAACCGTAGAAGTAGTTATCTAAGACGGGCGGAAAACAGTTTTATGAAACTATTTCCAAAGTTCTTTTTTGAAAAGATCATCTGAGACGAGTTTCACTGACTGACTTACTGACTGATTGATTGATTGATGATTAAATCACAAAGTCTCTGCCTGAACAAATGAATACTATAATAGACTATACCCACATCATAAGACTGCGCAAAATCTTGAGATCGGCCACAATGAGTTTCGTTTGCGAGTTGAGCTGATGCCAAATGCAGTCCAGCTGCGCCTGGAGTATCTTGTGAAACTTTTTGGTCACACAATTCTCCACGGTGACCGCCTCCATGTCGACGGTGCGATTGATGCGTTTGATTTCGCGCACCAGAAAATTCATAATATCCAAAATGTGCGTCTGTATGGAGCACATGCGTGTGCTGAGGGGCACATGCAGCTCAATGGTTTGCGCCTGCCACGGATGCAGTGCAGCACGGACGGTGGCATGAAATCTGGGCCAAATATACAATTGTTTCACAAACAGATTGCGCATGGTGCGCTCAATGTGCGCATAGCCAATGGTGAACGCCTCCGGGCTGCACGAGAAGGCCTTGATGAAGCCCGTCTTGTTCCGCTGGCGATATAAACGCAATGCGAACGCTTCCTGGCAGCTCTCAATGATGGTGTGCGCGCGCAGCACAATGATGCCCGTTATTAGCTCGATGGGTATGCGCTGCTTGAGCAGATCGACGACAAGAATGCGCGTGGAGATAAACTGTAGACCGCCCTCCAGATAGACGCGTTCACTGCAATGGCAAAGGAAGCGTTTAAGGATTGAAACCGCCTGCTCTGGGAAGGCACTGCGCTATCTACCGCTCTGTGGCTGTGTTGGCCACCTCGTGCACATATTTGGCATCCAGCTTAGACTTATAGAACTGCTCCTCCCAGTCGGCGCAGTTGATGACCAGCAACAGATTGCCCGCATCGCTATAGACCTTCAGTATGTTTAATAGCACGCGATCGTAGCTGAGACCTCTGGAATGTTTGATTTTGGGGTTTTAGGTTTGTGCCCAATTTGTTCGTCGTCCGCTTACTTGGCAGACACCAGCAGCCCATCGGCATGCACCAGATCCAGAAACATTTGCTTTTCATACTCCAGCAGCTGCACATCTTTGCGCATCAGATATTCCTCGGCTGTCACCAGATTGGCCAAATCCTCATCCGCCAAATTGTCACAGGACTCGGGCAATGCAGTTGTTGCGGGCGCAGAGGGTGGCATCGCATCTGTTTCAGCATCCGCAGCCGCCGCTACATCGGGCTCCACATCGGGCTCCACATCTGCCTCCACTTCTGCTTCCTTTCCAACCGTTGCTTCTGCCTCTGAATCCGACATGGCGCAGCAATTTCACAAGTAAACAAAACAAAAAGCCGGCATGTGCATATCGATAATGCCAATGCGTACGATATGCAACGGTAAGAGTTATCGATAACATATTTGGCAGCCCTCACACGTTACAATCGCTGGACGGCGCAACAGTGTGTCGCAGATTCTACACTAGAACATATATACCTTTGAGCTGTTCAGATTTTAAGAACTTTACTTTTTGAGAACTTGGCATATTTGAAACGTATCGATACTGGATGCAAGAACTTAGCTATCTAACTCTATTTCAGTCTGCTTCCCAAATTTAATAACCTGCATGAAATAACCTCAACAATTAAAGACTAAGAAAATTATTGGAATTTTTGCAATCTAATCTGTAATTAACAATAACAACAATAATATATAGCTTTTTTGCTTATCGTAAAATGCATGAAGTATGCCGATTCTAATATTTAGACAATGTTGAAAATTGGAAATTCTAATTTGTGAAACATTGAAATGATCTCTATGTAAAATTACAATCATTATATGCATTTAAGTGACAAAATTGCATAAGAAACGAATGTTCATAGAAATATTTAACCAATTCTGTTGTACAACTAGAACTGTGTCGTGTTTTGTTTATATTTTTAAACTCCATCGATAGATTTGAAATAAATTATCGATTTGTTGACTATTTAATTCGACCGGCCAAACAAGCACGTGCCAAGGCGCTCAACTAGATTCTGCCCAGTACTCTTCATAAATTCAAGCAATTTGTGTCTGTTTAAGAAATTTTAAAAACATTTTTAAAAAACTTTTCTGAACAATTTTCCTTTAAAGCATGGCGGACGAGGTATCAGCGTATGCCGCCTACGGCAAATCGCTGCCAAAAAAGAAAGCACCAAAGAGGCAAGGAAAACGTTTGCCAAAGAAGACAGGAAAGCAAACGCCCAAGACACTAGCAAGGCGTTTGACAAAGAACACAGTAAACCGTGCGCAAAAGCAGCACAAAGCAAATGGGCAAAATAACGGTGCTGCAGTCAAAAGGGAAAATGGCGTGCAAAAGAAGCCGAAAGCTAAGAAACTGGGCACACCCGACAACGCCAGCGCCGGCGCCACACGCATTGACAGCACCAGCGGCAGCATCACCAACAACAGCAATAACAAGAGCATGCCGTCCAAGAGGAACAAAGGCAGGAGATCCGATGGGTCCGATACAGAGCAAAGTGAGTCTCTGGATGATACAGTTAATATGGCCAGAAAGATGGCCGACTATTTAAATGAGCGCGGCGAGCAAAATTTTGGCTCTGATGATGACAGCAGCGGCGGCAGCTACGAAGAATACGACAGCAGCGACAAGGACGACGATATGAGCGAGAGCGGTAGTGCGAGTGAGAGCGAAAGCTGCAGCGAGGACTATAATAAAAGCAGCGACGACGACAGCGACAATGAGTGCGGTGACGGCGACAGCGACAGCGACGGTGACTGCGGCAGCGAGGGCAGCAGTGCCTGGGAGAGCGAAAGCGGCGATCAGTTTAGCGAGGAATACACGCTGAATAGCCACGCCAACAGCAGCAGCAACAACGACTGCAGCCGCAGCAGCAACAGCAACAACGAAAGCAGCAATAGCAACAACGACTGCAGCCGCAGCAGCAACAACGACAGCAGCAACAGCAACAACGACAGCAGCTTCAGCAGCGCCAGCTCTCCCGAGACTTCAGTTATGCCCGTTGACAGCAGACGCAAGGCACCCAAACGCAGCGAGCATTTGTCCAGCAATGCCGATGCTAGCGATTTCACCGATAGCAACAACAACAACAACAACAATACCAAACCGCCAGCTGCCAAGCTGCAGAAGCTTCAGCTGCAGCAAAAACTGAAACAAAAGCAACTGGAGAAACAAGAGAAACGCGCAAGCGCCGCTGCGCAGCGCGAAAATGTGGCGCCCTTCTGTCCGCTGCAGCGTACAGCGACAAATGCCAAGTCGTGCCCGCTGCCCAGCAAGGAGGCGGCCAAGCCGGGCCCCAAGTCGTGCCCGCTGCCCAGCAGGGCAGCGCAGGCAGCAAGTAAAATGGCGCCAAACAAAATGGCGGCCAAGTCGTCTGCGCTGCCGCCCAAAAACGAAAGGGCGGCACAACAAAAACGCGATGAACCACAGGAGCAACAGCGGCCAAAAGGTAGACGCAGCGAGAGTCAGGTGCCGCTGCCTGCGGCAACGGGAGAGCCACAGCCGGAGGTGCATCTGCAGGACAGTATTGAGGAGGGCAAACGTATGCTGCACTGGCTGATAAATCCGATGACATCCGATGATTTTTTCAGCCAATACTGGGAGCGCAATGCGTGCCAGGTGAAACGCAAGCAGCCAAACTATTTCTCACAGCTCATCTCGTTTAAGCTGATTGATGAAATGCTGATACGCAACCATCTGGAGTTCACCACCAACATCGATGTGACCACCTATAAGAATGGGGTGCGTCAGACCCATAATCCGGACGGACGCGCCATGCCGCCGACCGTATGGGGCTTCTATGGCGACGGCTGCAGCATTCGCATCCTTAATCCGAGCACATATTTGATTAAAGTGCGTCAGCTGTGCGCCATGATGCAGGAGTTCTTCCATTGTCTGGTTGGAGCCAATGTGTATTTGACGCCGCCGAATAGCCAGGGATTTGCGCCGCATTACGACGACATTGAGGCGTTTGTGCTGCAGGTGGAGGGACGTAAACGCTGGCGTTTATATTCCCCGCTGCATCCATCCGATGTCCTGGCACGCACCTCCTCTGGCAATTATAGCCAGCAAGAGCTGGGCGAACCGCTCTTCGATGCCGTGCTGGAACCGGGCGATATACTCTATTTTCCGCGCGGCACTGTCCACCAGGCGGTCTGTGACCAGCAACAGCACTCGCTGCACATCACGCTCAGCGTCTATCAGCAGCAGGCGTACGCCAATCTCCTGGAGGAGCTGATGCCTGCCGTGCTGCAGCGCGCCATCAAACATCATTTGAGCTTGCGGCGCGGCCTGCCGCTGCACACTTGGCAGCATCTGGGCCTGGCCAAGGGCGACCAGAAGAGCGAGCTGCGCGACAAGCTGCTGGGCACCACCAGGCGTCTGGTCCAACAATATTTGATGCCCAGCGATGCCCAAATCGATGCTGCCGTTGATCAGCTGGCGAAGCGCTTCCAGCACGAGGCCCTGCCCCCCGTTGTGCTGCCCGAGGAGCACGAGCGCACCGTATTCGGCTCACGCAGCCAAGCGAACTCCCATGGTCAGTGCCTGTGCGACTATGAGCTGACCGAGCGGACCAGCGTCCGTTTGCTGCGCGCCAACATCTTGCGCCTGGTCGCCGAGGGCAGCAGCCTGCGTGTCTACTACTATGTGGACAATGCTCTCGAGTTTTGCAAATATGAGGCCAACTTTATGGAGATTCAGCCGACAGAGGCTGCCGCCGTTGAGGCCCTGATGAGCGCCTATCCCAAGTATCTGAAGGTGGCCAAATTGCCGCTGCGCAGCGCCGAGCGTCGCATCGAGGTGGCCACCGCACTCTGGGAGCGCGGTCTCCTCATGACCGAGAAGCCCTTCAAATAGCCCGCTCATTTATCCATTAGCTTTTATATATCGATTCTTATTAGCATCTAGTATTTTAGCACATTTGTAATTTGTCCGCTTTCCAAGCTCTTTTCTCCTGGGGCTTTGGACTGCGCACACACATACTACATAATCCAAAAATTGTCATTAAAGATTCGCCTTAATATTGCTAGTCATTTAAACAACAATTGTCCGAGTTTTGATTGTAACTCGAAGCAGCCGTTGTCTTCGACACGCCGAAGATTAAATACCCTACTCTTCTGAAGCTCGTTTGGGAAGATGTCTTGAAAAACAGAACATTTTCTCAATATAAAACTATAGGATATACAAAAGTCTGATGAAGAACGAGAGACTAGTTTGCATATAAACAGACAGAGGACGTCCCTCTGGCTATTTCAACTTGGAAGTCGACTTATACACTTTATCAGAGCCGTCTTCTCTTACCGGCTTTTCCAGTTTTTCCCATAGGGAAACAGGTTCACAAGGGAAAGGAGCCACATGGTATAAATGATTTTCCGAGGTGTCAATCAACAGAAAGGAAAAGGGGCTTAAATATAGCACACACATTAGACTTAGACATGTATATGAATATATATATATTAATATATGTGTGTATAAAAGAAAACAAAACAAAAATTACATCTGTCTGGGGCTGCGCGTTCCGCATTTTTACCTTAAGCGCTTCGGATTTTCTTCCGCTCGCGATACAAACTCTCCTTTTGTACTGTAAGGGACAAATTGATTAATAACTAATCGCACAATTTACGTAATTATGCTCTAATTTTGCCACTTACTGTACGGATCGAAGCGTATCACCTCCAGTTTATCCGCGAGGCGCTCACGAAACGCATTGAACTGATGGCCGCTGACCACGCTCTCGAGCACAACCATGATGCGCCTGTAAATAGGCGACTTTGTGTATTAAGTACAGCTGGTTATTGGTTTGAATATAGGCCAATCACTCACTTGCTCTTTACTTTCTTGAACAGCACATTAGTTAGCCTCATTTTGGTTACAATTTAGTGAATTTATCAAATTACTTCAGACAACACCTGCAAATTGTTGTGCAAGCCGACAGCAGGAAAAAAACACTAAAAAAATACCTCAAACAGCTGACATGTGTGCATGGTATATCGATTGTGCTGCGTGCGTTAGTGTTGTCAAACGTCAAACGACGCGCGCAATTCAAAACGAGTTGCTTTTACTGCGTTTGTTTAGGTTTGAGCAAATCAGGTTGTTTGCTTGTTCGTTTTATGTTAAGTTTGTAATCGTACATTTAATTTGACTTTACCTGCTGATTTCATGCATGTCATGTACACTCATGTCACAAGCAGTTGATGCTGCAAGGAAGTAAACGCGATTATCGATTGCAATGCGCATTCGCAGTGCTGTAAGCGCGCGCAACTCAAAACGAGTTCTATTTAACCGTTTTTTCTGCTTGCCTTTACTTAAAATGTACATTTTTTTGTTTTTCGTTGAGTATAAGCTGCCATTCAATCTGAATTTAAGACAAACTTTTATGTAAGTCATGTACATTTCCGTGTGAGCGCCGCTCAAAACAAAATTCCACAAGCAGACGATGCTGCAAGGACATTAACGAGCACACATGTTATCGATTGCAGCGCGTATGCCCAGTGCTGTAAACGCGCACAGTTTCAAATGTTTTGCTTTTGCTCAATTTGATTATATGGTTTCTACTTATTACCTTGAACTAGCACTAAATCTAGCTTAGCCTTCTGCAAATATGTAAGTCAAGTGCACTTACGTGTCCCTGAAGCCCTCACAAAGCAAGACTTAATCCACTTACGACCCAAATTAGCGTACATTTAAAGCAAAGCAAACAATGCGCGAGCGCCACGTAACAGCGTCAAAATGTCCCGTGTCTGCGCCCGGTGGTGCCGGTGGTGCCGCCGGCGCCCCTGCCCTTGGTTGCGGCTGACTAGACAAAGTCAAGTCTCACCGCTGCCAACCATCAGTAAGCGCATGACTAGACTTCCGCCGCCGACGTGGCCGCCGAAGTTGCTGCCGCTGCCGCCGCCGCCTGAGCATCAAGAGGGGGATGTGTGGGTATGTGTGTGTGTGTGTGGGGTGTGTTTCCTTTCCGTTTCCGTTTTGTTGCGCTGGTCGTTAAATAGCTTAAGCTGATACAAATTAAATTAAATGAATACATAGCAAGTAATGCCGCACCAGGGCGCTCATTGTCAGGGTCAAAGCGAGAGGAGGACAAAACACGAGCGCGCACTTCGGTTCGGCTGCACGCACACATAACCTCAAACAATGACGCCAATTGGCACAAAAGCTTAAATGTGTAATCCGGCCGACAATGACTGTGAGTCGACTGTAACGGTATTGTTGCTGCTGCTGGCTGCGGCGTTGGGGGTGGTTGTTGCGGGGGTGATGCTGTTATTGGACCTATTACCATATGAAGGTAAGGTCAACAGCATCGGCAGCAACAAGAGCTGAAACAACAAAAATGTACACAACCATAGACGCAACCAAACATATTATTATACACATATGTATGTGCATATAAGCCCAGTGTATAAATGTGCATAATAAGTAGTTAAAATAATCAGCTTGCGTGTTTAGGCAGCAGCTGTAAGAGCGGTAATTTGCCGTTATGCGCTGTTGTTGCTCACGTGCTTTCTCACGTTACCCAGCACTAATGCCAAAAAGCACGTGCAGCATCTCGCTCGCACCTGTGCGAAAGCCTTGCTGCCTTGAATGCAGCCAAGCTTTTGCCAGCGCCAGCTTTAGAAACCAAACAAAAACATGAGCGAGCATACACACAGACTCACACACGCCCACAGACCCGGAAGCTAACGCGCGGCTTTGTCACAATGCAGCCCATAAAAGTAGACTAACAATATTGCCTTAATGCTATATCAAATATAAATTCATGTGCCCAAACAGCCAAACATGCGCAGCTTATTGATATAAATTATATGTATATACACAAAAATTGTATGTCATATGTTAAGTTTAGGCCGCCATATGTTGAATTTGTGAGCGTGCACTATTTAGCTGGACACGACTGTTGGTCGCAAGCAGCAAGCATAACACACAAAATGTTCAGCTGCTGTTGTCGTCGCACTTGTAGAGCTTTTTGCGCGGATAGGGCTGAAGCTGAAGCCAAAGCTCTCTACGGCTGACGGCAACGTCATCGTGTAAATAAACGCAAATTCAGTTCATCAACGACACTCGTGCGAGGCGGATGCTAAGCGTGCGCAATACTCAGCCTAGTGCGATAAACAAAAGTAGACAGGAGAAGTAAGAAAAAGTTGCCTATTTCAAGTGTGAAGGCGAGCCCAAAAAACAGGCATAGAACACAAGAGCAGTGACAACAACAACAACAACAACAACAGCTTAACTTAAAGCAAGCGCATTTATGCTGCCTCCTGCAGCAGCAACAACAATAACAAACAAACAAACAAACAGTGCGAGCTGCTAATAGTTCTTGCTGTTCTTCTTGTTGTTGCCAAGTCCAAATCATAAATAAAAAACAATAAACAATAACAGAACATTTTTGTTATTTTTTTTTTTACGTGTAAATAAAAAGCGTAAGTCAACTTTTTCTTACTCTTTCTGATAGTTTTTTTTTTGTTGCCAATTTTTTCATGTGTTAACAGCAATTTTATTAAACAACAACAAAATGCTAGCCGCATAAATTAAAGTGCAGAGCCCAGCAAAAATAAAAATAACAAAACATATATATAAACAACAAATCACAGACAGAATTTCGTATTTGAAGACGCCGCCTGAGCGGCAGTGCAGCAGGCGCCAGCGTCAGCGTCGACGGCGGTAAGCATTCACACCAAAAGAAAAAATACTAAAAAAAAAAAAACAAACAAACAAACAAAAAACAATTGCATTGCATACAATTCCAGCTTCAACGCGCTCTCTTTAGCGCTGTTCCCATCTCCGGCCGCTGGCTGCCCGCTATGTGTGTGTGTGTGTGTGTCTGTGTTTGTGTTAAGTCTCGCTTTTATTTGTTTGTGTGTGTATGAATGCGGCGATTCATGTTTTTGCAGCGCGCTTTTAGGCGCGTCCTCGGCAAACGCAACTCAAATGCAGCCGAAAAAAAGCGCGTCACAAAAACAACTAATTAAAATGTCCGCAATTGTCAGACGCACGCAGCATACCTAACCCTGGCCCTTGCAACATACTCTCCCCCTTCCCCAAAACCACGCAACAATTTCTACCATTTATGCCCATTGCCATTCTCATCCTCTCGACAGCGTCCTTGGCCATGCGCCCACGCAATTGCATTTACAGTTTTACAGTTTTACAGTCGACGTCGCCGTCGCCATTGCCGTTGCTGTCGCCGTCGGCGTCGCTGTCAGCGTTCTATTTGCAATCTATTTCACGTTGATTTTATGTTGTTGCTGCTTTTACATAGAAATTATAATTTCTGTGTGTACAGTTTACTATTATCACGGCAAATATTAATTTACCTATAAACTCCATTTTACATACCCTTTACCCAGTGGGCAATAATGGGTATATCCATTTGCTTGAGCAGCATGCATTACAGACAGGAGACGCCTTTAGGTTGTGTAAATATATATATTTTATATGCTCTTATCCGGAATGTCCATCTGCCTATTCTTATTCTTATTCTTATTATTCGGCTTAGCCTTCGTTTGGTTTTAAGCTAGTTTTACTTTATTTCTCAGCTCCCTACATAACCCCAAATTGATATCAATATTCAAATCTTCGTTTTTGAGCATTTCTCAGAGTTTAAGAAAGTTAAGGGCTTCAAAATTGGCTTTATTTGTCGTCAGTCCACGCAGATCAAGTTATTCATAATCTATTCATTTAATTTTCTCAAAACAAATTCATTTGTAGCTCCAATTTTTAGGCATATATGACAAATGGGACACCAAAAATTAGATGCAAGTTTATTAATTTGCTTAGAAAACTCCATGGAACTTATAAAATCAAAAAATTTTGATTTTGTATCTCCGTACTCTCAGCATAACCTGGCATTTGGGGTACTTTTTGGGTGGTACACACATATTTAAAGAATATTTCAGTTGTTAAATAAACCTGCCCGGAGATAAGTTTATGGTTTTTAGATAAAGATTCCAAAGGATCTAAGAAGTAGCAAAAAAAGTTACTCTGGAATGAACTTTTCAAAGTGGGTTAAGAAGAGATCCAAGAACTAGCAGAAAAGTTATTCAAGGAC